ATGGAACTGTATGGAAAGAAAGTGTTTGGAATCTCTCTGGGGGAGGGTGAGATAGGTTATGAAGCTCTTCAGTAATCTCTCCCCTTCTCCTCATTATATTCTAGACCAATTTCTACAATTATTGCATTGTTATCTATAATTATTGCAAATATTGTTATTATTTGAAATGAGTTGCTATAACCCCATCACATTTGTAGTTCTTTGGTGTATTATTCACACAATGCTAGGCTCTTGAATAATCAAGTGTACAGTTTTCCTTTCACACCCATCCCCTAAATATTTCTTTCTTAGCACCTCCTTCTTTATTTCTCCTAATTCTTCCCATCCTGCCCCTCACTCACTCAATCTTCCTTCTCCTACTTCAGTTGCCCACTCTCTTTCAATTAGACAATTAAGGTAAAATGGGTGCTGAGAATATGGGCTTGTTTGATACTTGATCCTTCAAACTGCAGATGCCACAGATTGTATTTGGGATTCCTGGCTCCAGCACAGAAAACCTGAGCTCTGCCACTGACTTTTAAGACCATACTGCTTGATCAGGAGTGAAGAGGCAGAAAAGATGCAGTGATTCTGTACTGCAGAAAATGTTCTGCATGTGCTCAGAGACTCAAAAATCTGAGATTAAAAATTCTTCACTCTTGATTTGGTTGATCTATCCACTTGTTGCTATACTTGTGGTGGATCAATGCCCTCTAACTGAAATAAATAGCTCCTTAGCAAACAAGGCCCTCTTCCTTCCACGTGCCCTCAACTATCTTTATACATTTAATGCTTCTGATAATCTCCTTATTTTGCTCCCATCCTCTGCTCTACCACATGGATTTCAGCTGTCTTTTATTTCACCAAAACTCCAGATTTGGCACAAAATCAGGTTTTCTGCAACACTCCCTAAACAGAAATACCAGTAGTGTATTGTGTGAACAGAGATTCTGGGTGAGAATAATAGATTAATTCGGTCATTAGTCAAACTGGAGACTGTAGTCAAGAAAACAGAAGAATAGGACTTAGAAAGGCAGCCATGAAGGTGCTATATAAGATCCTCAAATGTAAATATATATAATTAAATACCAAAATCAGAATAATCAAGGCCACTCAAATGTAAATATATATCATTAAATACCAAAATCAGAATAATCAAGGCCACACTATTTCCAATTTCTGTGTATGGCTGAGAAAACTGGACAATGAACAAAACTGATGGGAAGAAAATAAACTAATGGTGCTGGAGAAGAGTTTTATGGATAGTATGGATTGCTAAAAGATAATGAATAATTCTTAGAGCAAATCAATCCTGAACTTTCACTAGAAGCGAAGATAACTAAACAGATACTGTTGTATTTTGTACACATCATGAGATGATGTGACCGTTGGAAAAGATGCTGGAAAAAGTAGAAGGAAGTACGAAAAGAGGGAGATTGTGTTACAGGTGAATTGATTCAATCAAGGTCACCACAGCATTGAGTTTGCAAGACCTGAGCAGGGCAATTGATGACTGGGGTTCTTGAAGGTCTTTTATCCATAGGGTCACCATACATTGAAGTCAACTTGATGGCAAATAACAACTCTTATTTTCACAGAGCCTTTTTCTCTGATTCCCGAAGACTAGAATTTCCTACACTGAACTGCTGGAGTGAAACCAAAAGAGGGTGCAGCTACACATTGTATGCCATTCATATTTTGCATTGGGGGAAAGAGCTGTTTTATCTTGCTTCTCAGAAGTCAAGTGCAATCATGAATTCAACAGATATATATTTATTTTCTTGCACAATTCTCTCTTTGCTGGCCAGAAGGAGGACCACTTGTGTACTACTAAATATAACAGCACACGTTAACCTTCCACCTAAACATAAAAACAGAACAAAGGTTACCTTTCTAACTGTGGGTTATACCAATCAGGCAATCAATGCAACAGCAGTGTTTAGAACCAATAAAACAGGTTTGCTCCGAACAGCGGTTGTGAAAGAAAATGACTGTTAGTGTGCTATTGTGCTTACACCCTCCTTGTGAGCTTCTTGGAGACATCTGGCTAGCCAGTGCAGGAACAAAATCCTGGACTATGTAGGTCTTTGTTCAGAGTCATTATGGCTCCTCCTAAACTCAGGATCCAGTGGTGGTATTTTGCTTATATCAATTGTATTGCCGAACCAGGAAGGACAGTTCCCTCTCTCCTGCATGCCTGTCAAGAAATGCTCCAAAGGAGTGTAGGGTTGCCAGGTGTCCTTTGTTATAAGGAATACCCCTAATTTCAGGTCTGGAAAGCTTTTCATTTTGTATAGACTGAAAAAGATGCCTCAAATACCCCTGTGTTTGGGGGGTATGGACTCTTTATAAAGGCAGAAATGTGTGCATCATATAATTCATTAATGTGGTTTGGTGGTTGTGTGCCTTCAAGTTGCTTCTGACTTACGATGATCCTAAGGTGAACCTATCATGGGATTTTCATGGCAAGATTTGTTCAGAGTGGGTTTGCCTTTGCAGCCTCTCTTGCCCAGTGGGTTTCTGTGGCCAAGTGGGGATTCAGACCGACTTCCAGAGTCATATTCCAGTGCTTAAACTACTCTAGCTCTCTATGAATGTGGACAGTATGTTAATTGTATAGAGAAACAACAGGGCTCTGTAAACAGATATTGATATTTTCATTTGGTATTTAGTTTGAGCACAAACTTGTTAACAGATACTTCTTGATTATCAACTTTGCATGTCATGAAATTCAACTGTCCTTTATTGTTGGCAACACACGAGAAGCCCTTTGGAATAATAATCATTGCTCTACTAAAATCTACTCTAAATCTCTGTTTAAAAAAATGGGGGAGAATGCATATATCACCTTGCATAGTGCAAGAGTAAGGATGCAAGGGTAGGGGTGTAACTGGGGCTGGGGACAAAATGGAGGCCTTGCCCCCCTCAAATAATCCCCCCCATCAATTGTCAAAATTCTAGCATTGTAGTAACGTTAGTAGAAGATTTAGAAATACAGTTTAGGCATCTAAAGAGAAGGGGCAGACACAATTACCAGGGAATGCAAACACAACAAATATACCAAACATAAAGGTGAAACAATTTTTAATATCTCACTTTCTGGAGTGACAGATATTTGGGAACAGCAAGAAAATTTCATTTTGTGGGCAGAACAAACATAAGGGGAGGACAATGTCCTCATATTGTGCCCCACTATAGTGCCACTTCATACAAGGGAAAGGATATACATGTAATATTTAAAGAACAGGCTGGATTTATTATGAGAATTTATTAACCATAGATTAATTAGCTGAGACAAGAACATGATAGGAGTTGGTGATTTTTAAATTTTCAAAGGATATTTCTAATCTGCTCTGAACAATTTGGTTATTCAAGACTAAGTTAACAGAGGAAATATTTCACTTGTCAAATAAGTGCTAAAGGCTCAATAATATTTCTTAAATGCTTGCCTTGAACAATGGAAAGCTGAAGCATATTTAGCTGAAATGCAACCTCAGGAAAGTGGCTATCTTTAGTGGCCATCACTCAACATTCACTCAGCACCAACCAGAGACAGTGGAACATTTAAGGCTCTGTCCATGTTTTTGGCTTGCCAGTATGTAAAATGCCATTTATTTTGAAAACACACTTAATATGGATTCTTTAAAAAAAAAAAAGGGGGGGGGAAAGGAAGACGAAAGCTTAAGTTAAGTCCTTCCTGCTTAGTCAAGGTAGAAGCAAAGGCTATATGTCTAAAAAAAAAGGAAGGTCTTACCAACCACAGCATCTGTTTGAAGGCCAAAACTAGAAGAACCTGTTCTTAAATGTCCCTAATGCTTCATGGTAAATATTTAACAGTAAACAAACCAGCAGTTTATATGCTCAGAAAGGTTTATTTGCCATGCTTCACAGGCAGATTTGTGTAAAGTGATACTTTGGTTGAACAAAACTCATATTTACTGTAAGCCAAGGCTCTGGAGTGAACCTAAACAAAGATCCGAAGATCACTTTACATTTCTGTGTAAAGAAAAGAACCTAAAGATCAAAACAGAGCAAGAAACTCACTACAAATAATGGCGATGTTTATTAATCTAACTCAAACCAGTTAAATTCACTCCCAAAGCTCAGCGTGATTGATTTTAGGGGCACATCTACAGAGCAGTTTCCTGCACTCCAGTTTTGGCACCAGAGTTATGTGGAAAAGGGAATTGGAGAGCTATTCCAGGGAAAGGGAGGAAGCCAGTTATCTGGTGACATCAGTTGCCACATGGGCCACTTGATGGCCATCATGGGCTTCAAAACATCCTTTCTATGTGCACTATGAGGATCAGACTTGTCTCCAGGGCAAATTTTTGTATGTACATATATCCCAGAAAGAGAGACGGGAAAACATAAGAGAATTAACAACTGGGCTATAAACTCTCTGATTTAAATTTCACTTTTGCAGTGAAATCAGTAGAATTTAGTGAACACATGATCTCTTAGAAAAGTTACTGATTAAGAAGGGAAAAAAAGATCTGTTTTAACACTGTAACAGTTTAATTCCACCTTGCTACTTTTGTAAGTTTTTAATTGTACTGTGTTTTTAAACTGCTTTGAGTCCCAATTTTGGGGGGGAATGTGGGATATAAATAAATACAACAACAACAACCTCTTTCTTTCCATCTGATATGGGAATGAACTTTAAAGGGTTGCTTGCAAAGCATGTTGAAACTCTGAAGTACTAATTAAGAGCCATTATTACATGTAGCCCATAAACTATGTGTGTTTTTTAAAAAAATTCAGACATTTCCAAATGTCTCAACTGCATTTTAAGAATGCCTCTAACACAGTGCTCTTCACAGTTAATGGGCCATTCATGCAATTTTTGGGTGAATTTGTATGTGTTGTTGTGTGCCTTCAAAGTCATTTCCCATTTAAGACGGCCCTAAGGAGAACCTATCATATTTTCTTGGCAATATTTTTTTAGACAAGGTTTGCCTTTTGCTTTCCTTTGGGGCTGAGAGAGTGTCACTTGCCCAAGGTCACCCAGTGGGTTCCCATGGCTATGTGGGGATTTGAACCCTGGTCTCCAGAATCCTAGTCTAGTGGTCAAATCTCTAAACCACGCTGGCTCTCAGGGTGCCCAAGTACAAATAGTAAAATTAACAGCTGGAATCCAAGGAGTCTGAAGGTAAACAAATCATTATGAAGTTTTCTTAGCATCACAATGAAGATAAACAGTAAAGTGGTTTTATTGTAGACCTGAAAGAGGCAGGTGTCTGCAGGTGCAGAGTACAGAAAATTAAAGTTTATGCATTGGTTAAATCAGATATGTAACCAAAAATGTATGTCAGTGGGCAAGGCCAGAGCATACATATAGCTTCATCCCATTCATTCTCCCAGTCCTTCTCTTCCTATCACATATACAAATTATCACATCAATCATTTCCACTGTTGCTACCCTCCCGTTCATGAAGAAAACTGATTTCCAGGGCCAATGCAAGCTGGCACTGTCCTAGCACAAGACACATTATTGTTCACCCTCCCTAAGTCTTTCTACAAACCAAATGTTACTATTTTCTTTAAACAGGTTTTAAGTGACTGAGGTTTAGGTATAACCAGAGTCTATTATGGCTAGAGCCTAGTACTTCTGCTCTCAAAGTATGTACTGCACTTTGCCATGTCTGAACTGAAATGCTGGTGCTTAGAGAACACACTGCTATGCGGAAACTTAGCAACAGCTACTCTCTGGTCGGCTGAGATAATCAACATTTATTTTGTAGTATGGCTTGCTTTTTCAATGTCCAAGTCCACAAACTCCAATGGTCTCAGCACAAGGAGTACCTATACCTCTTCTTCTCAGGCTTGCTGATGAACAGGGAGACTTAACTATTCCCTTCTTGCATATCTTGTGTGTGTGTGTCTTCAAGTAGTCTGTTGACTTATGGCGACCCCTTGAAATTCATGGGATTTTCTTAGGCAAGGAATACCCAGTAGTGGTTTTGCCAACTCCTTCATCTAAAATACAGCATATAGCATTCATTGGTGGTCTCCTTTCTAAGTATTAACCAGAGCTGGCCCTACTTATCTTTCAAGATCAGATGGAAGCTGGTGCCTTTAGGGTATTTAGACCATCTTGCATATCTTACTCCCCATCATAATAATGTTTCCTCTGTCCACCCAACAGTGGGAAGATTCAGCAGTGGTGATGGTGGCAGAGAGTGGGAATTTGCTGAGGATTTCAGATGCCATTGATGGCTTGTACTAAAGGTCTTTGAATTTCTCAAGCAGCAGGTAGTGGACAGAAGTTATTTATATGCAACTACAAAAGGGCATATGATTATACATCATGCCATTTCTCAATTTGTATCTTAAAAAGACAAATGGAATGCTTGTGATTCAACATCGACAAAACAAAAACTCTCAAAACTATTTTGAATTGATGAGCTGTAAAGGTGTACAATGGCTTACCCAAGAAAGCTAGTTTGCATGCAATATCTTGTTCTAAGTGAACAGGACATTAGGTTTTCTGACAAATAATGCATCAGAATGTACACTAAAATCTTTTGCTGTGTTAGATATCAAAATACCAGAGGCTGAAAAAGGAAAAGTTAAATCATTTGTCAAATATTAAGTAACAGATAGAAGCCAAAACTGTTTTGTCCCTAGTGTCCTACTTTGAGAGAATATAGATGGTTCTGATAAATGGCTGCTGTGACAGGTTAAGGCACCATGAAGTGACATTGTTGAAAAGCTGCAAATTTTAACTTAGCTTGATCAACCAATTAATCAACCCAAACTAGAGCTGATTTCATCCAAATTTTATTTGAAATTAATCAGTGAGAAGAAACCTTAATACGTCAAGTTAAGCATTTATCTTTTGGAACTAGTTTGGTTCTGGTCTGTTGAGTGTGCAAAAGAGATCACAGTTTTAATATTTTGAATAGAGTAGTTCCTTTTAACAATCCACGTTGGCTTTTGTTGATTAAACTATACACAGTTTTGCACTTTGTGCAAAAGTGTCTCAAAGTCATCAATTGTTAAGTTTTTTAAAATCTGCATTTTTTTAAAAAATGCAATTAATTAGAGAACATAAAGATGAGTGATCAACTCCATTGTCAGCTCTGGTGGGGGGAGTGAGTAGTCGTTTGAACATTTTCCTAAGATCGTAGGACACATTATGGAAAACATTCCAAGTTTCAGTTGAGCTGGATGAGTGGCAAATGATTCTGCAACATGTCTATAATATGTGTGAGCTTCTAGTTGACCACATAGTATATCAGATAATTATGCTTTATGGAGCTGCCCATGTTAATTGGTATCTCAGTAAGAAGCCAAGTTGTTTATACTTTTGGTGAAGGTTCTTATAGTTCTTTGTTTATAATGGAAGACAGTAGCAGCTGGTAGATTCCATACCAGAAAGGCAGTGAATCAACTTTGGTATTTAGTCTAAATCTTAAATTATTCTAGATGCTGAACCAATTTTAGGGACACACGTCAGCACCTTGGACAGCTCTTTTACGCTTCAGACTGTGCTTCATCACCCTACTAAAATGGGACACAGCAGTTCTTGTGCCAGTGAACTGATATATGTATATTCTATCATAGTGCTGAAAATCCAGCCTTTATACCCTGCAGAGCTCTCATATTAAAAAACAAAATGTGTGTGGATTCACACTGCAAGAACAATGTTGTCTTGTGGTAGTTGCAGAAATGTAGCCTTCAGTATTCAGCATTGCCTTTCTCATGGTCTGATGGAGTGCTTTGAAGACACAAATCACCAAAGGACTATGAGACAACTTTGCAGCTGCAGTGATAACATGTGCCCCTCCAATGTGCTTGTACTGCAACTCCCATCAGCCCCAGACAGCATGGAAAATGGCAAAAGGAGTTCCACCCCAGCACCATCTGGAGGGCTACATGTTTCTCATTACTGCATTCAGCATTGACAGTGCATTATAGCTTAACATCATTACTTGGGACATGTTACTTCTATGCTCAGAACATTCCTTTCTAACAGTACTGATGATTACTGTCACCTTCCTAACATTCATTCAGAAATGCTTTTAGTGCAGAAAAAGCCCAAGCTCTGAGGTTCAGGCATGAGTCCCTCATGACACTCAAGGGCTGCACCAGGCCATCAACGAAAACCTAGAACTGAGCAGGTCACTATCAGTTTGGAGGGAGGGAAACTCTAGTTTCCCTAGTCAGTGGGGTATGTGTGTATCTGAAACAACAACTCTTGTGTGATATTGGAAAGTACTTTTAAAATCCCTGTGTGTTCTAATTGGGTTAGTAGTGCCACAAGTGTAAAGTGATTGTATTAGCTGCTGCTTGAAACACACAACAGATAAAGATCTTGCAGGATCAAACTAAAGATCTATTTGGTCTCTCCCCACCCTTCCTTACTGGCCAGCCACTTGCCTGTGGGAAGCCCATATGTTCCACTGTCACCCAGTAATTGTGCTCCTGGGCTGGGCATTCAGTAAACATGATGAGTAGCCACTAGTAGATTTCCCTTCCACTAATTTATGGAATTGTTTCAAAATCCATTTAGACTGATGACCTTTGCCACTTCTTGTGAAAGTGAACTCCATAGCTGTGACATACTTCCTTCTATCTATCCTCATGAATGGACCTTGGTCCTAATGTTATGAAAAAAAGGGAGAAATCCTCCTCTCTATCTACTTTGCAAAGTTTCTTTAGAAATGAGGCATCATATTTACAAATACTACTACTATGCACATTGGAAAGGTAACCTGAAAGATGAACCAGAAATTTGGGGAAAAGGTAATAGAGCAAATTCTTATTTTAAGTTGGTGGTAGTGTCTCCTCTGGAGAAGAAAAATATTCACATTCTGCCATCAAATTGACTTTAACTAATGTTGACCCTATGAATGAGAGACCTCCAAGTCATCCTGTCATTAAAAGTCCTTCTAAGATCTTTTAGACTCAGGGCTGTGGCTTCCCTGATTGAGTCTATATATCTGAAATGCAATCTTCCTCTTTTCCTACTGCCCTTTATCTCATTATTGATTTTATGACTAATGTCTTCTCATGATATGGCCAAACTGCAATACTGTTGGTTCAGGCTTTGGGACCCATTTATCTGTCTTTTTAGCAGTCCATAGTAGCTGTAGAACTCTTCTCCAGCACCACATTTCAAATGAGTTCATTTTCTTCCTTTCAGCCTTCCTCACAGTCCAGATTTCACATACATAAAAATGGGAAATGAATACGATGATGTGGACAATCCTAACCTTAGTATAGTCGGTCCTTGGTATCCACGCTTCAGACCTCCAGTGGATACCAAAATCTGTGGATACTCAAGTTCTGCTGTCCTCAATGGTGGTGCATGTACATGGGCGCAGCACCATTAAGGACAAACCCCATTGTTCCCAGTGGTGGGGCGGCGACATTAGGGACAATGGGGCTTAACGGAGGCACGTACTAATGAGGGCTGTCTCTAAAGGCAGTGCAGCCATGTGCACACACCACCATTGGGGATGGCAAGTTCGCGAATCCTGAGGGCTGACTGTATTCAATTAAATATTTTTACACTTCAGGATCTTGTCTATTTCCTTAACACCTGCCCTTCCAAGTCTTAGTCTTCTTCTGATTTCTTAACAGCAGTCTCCATTCTGACTAATGACTGAGCCAAGGTATGAAAAATCTTGAACTATTTCAATGTCTTCATTGGCTGCCTTAAAGTTATGTAAGTCATCTGTGGTCATTATTTTTGTTTTCTTAATGTTCAACTTTAATCCTGCCTTAGCACTTTCTTTCTTTACTTTCTTCAGTGATTGCTCAAAGTTTTAGTAGTATGGTATCATCTGCATATCTTAGATTTTTGATGTTCCTTCCTCCAATTTTCACACCTCCTCCTCTGAGTCTAATCCTGCTTTACACATGATATGTTCAGCATACAAGTTAAACAGATAGGGTGATAAGATGCAGCCTTGCCTGTTAGAAACCATTTCGTTTCTCCATATTCTGTTCTAGCAGTAGCCTCTTGGCCTGCATACAGGTATCAGGACAATCAAATGTTATGGCATACTCATTTTTAAAGAGCAATCCATTGTCTTTCATTAAGTACACAATAAAAGGCTTTCCTATAACCTAGAAATCACAG